GCCAGCGCGAACTGGAGGAGGCGCGGGCCTTCAACAGCTGGCTGGACGAGCGCCGGCTGGCCCAGAAAGGGGCAGCGGCACCTGGACGACGTGAGCCGGCTGACGGAGGCGGTGCACCGCCAGGTCCCCCAGCTGCACGCGCGCCGAGCGCCGGGGCGTCGAACGCGCAGCGGGCGAAGTTGCCGCGCAGTAACCCTTAAAGAGATGAAGACGCTTCGGTCCCACGGCTTCAGCCAGCGCCCGCGCTTCGAGCAGGTGGTGGGCTACCTTGAGCGGAATGAGCCGCTGCCCTTGAACAAGCCGGACAGCAAGGACACCACGTTTATCGCGAGCCACTTCTACATGGACGACTTCGTGCAGTCCAGCGAGGCCCAACGCCAAGGCCGCGGGGGAAACCGCTTCGGCGAGGACGACCTTGCAGGAGACCCCGAGGCCGACGCTCTGAGCGGCAGCAGGATGCGATGGCCTATCTACACGCTCTGCCCGGCGCCCCGGCAGTGCATCTATGCCGACCCTCCCTACATCTTCCACCGCCTTTGTCACCGCTCCGTTTTCGGTGCAAAAAGTGCTCAAAACGGCCATCCGAAAAGTTCGTTTTTTCGTGTCAGACGGGAAGTGGGATGCCTGAGCCTCTAGCTTCGCTCGTTTTCGGTCGAAAGCAGGCTCCAGACGCTCACTTTGCTCAGGATTCCGCTTTCAGCCCGGAAAACAGGCGAATTCCATCCCGCCAAGTTTGTCACCGCTTGTCACCGCTTTGTCACCGCTCTCTTTTGGGCCGAAAAGTGCGCAAAAGCGGCCAAGTTCGCGAGAGGACTTCTTCGTTGGCAAGTTTGAGTCAATAATGGAACGGGCCGACTCATTAATGCGCAAGGTTGGTTCATCAATGCCCGGTCGCAGGTGGGTGGTGCAGAGACATAACCACTGAGACAAGGGAGCTTTCGTACTTGGAAAAGCGAGGCCGGCTCTGCGGATTCGGTCTAAAAGTCCGCCGAGGTCGGAATTCCGACTTCGCTCTCCCACCGAGGTCGGAATTCCGACTTTGCTCTCCCACCGAGGTCGGAATTCCGACTTCGCTGCAAGCTTCCGATTTTGCCCGAAAAATCCTGCTGTCAGCGATGCGATGGGGGCCGCATCACTAGGTTTTCAGCCCGAAAAAACCCTGGCGCGGGCCTGGTGCGGGCCACTGCCGCAGCGCCGAAGGTCCGTCAGCGGCCTGCTTCTCGCCAGGATGCTGGCAGAGTCGCCTGTCAGTCAATCCTGTCGCCAGCGCGGTTGCTCCATTCAATCCTGCGTCGGGCGCAGGATTGCTCCACCCATTCCTGCGCTGACAACAGGATTGCCCCGATGCAGCACCAGCAGCTCTGGGCCCTGCTGTAGAGCTCCCAGGCCTCAGGCACGTAGTTGACGCTCAGGACTGCCCGAGATGTATCTTCCCAAGACGGATATTCCCGAGACGGATCTTTCCACCTCCCGCCCAGCTCTCCATAGAATAATATTTTACCCGAGACGTATCCTCCCACCCGCTGAGCGCCTCTCTCCTAAGGAATGATTTTCCCTTGGGCCCAGACGGATCTTCCCAAGACGGATATTCCTGAGACGCATCTTCCCCAGACGGATCTTCCCACGCCTATCCTTAGAATAATATTCTACCCCCTCCCCGAGACGCATCTTTCCACTTGACTGCCTCCTTAGAATAATATTTTTCCCCCGGCCCACCCAGTGAGCGCCTTTTCTTAGAATACTTTACCCCTCCCCAAGACGGATCTTCCCGTCTCCCCGGTGAGCGCCTCTGCTTAGAATAGTATTTTACACCTCCCGCGCGGTGAGCGCCTCTCCTTAGAAGAGTATTTTACCCCGGCCCAAGACGGATCTTCCGAGACGGATATTCCCGAGACGGATCTTCCCAAGACGGATCTTCCCAAGACGGATATTCCAAAGACGAGCGCCTCTCCTTAAGGGAATTATTTCCCTTGTCCGCACTTGCAACCTCGCACAGCGGCGTGGAATGCTGTAGAGCAGCTCGCGCGACTGCCCGCGTCTGCTTCCTGTACGGCGTCCCGTACTTGCAGTAGGTCACGTCCGCCCGTGGCAGGCGCTCCATAAACGGCGGGGTCTTCAGCAGCCCTGTGCCCGGGTTCTCGATGACCCACATGAGCGGCTCGAAGTGCGCTATGATAGCGCGCTCTGCAGCCGCCAGAACCGCTTCGTCAGTATTCCGCGCAGCTGGCCCAGACCATGTCAAAGTGCCCCGGAGGAAACAGCGCGTAGTCTGAGCTCCGTGTCGCACAGGATCGTGGGCTCAAATTTCGACACGATGTCCAGGGAGACGACTTCCCAGCCCGCCGCCTCGAAGGCTCGGCCAATCGACTTTGTGCCGCAAAACAGCTCCAGCAGTCTCGGCATTTTTAATGATCAACATCACCACGACGAGGCTCGCAAAGGCGACGGCGCGGCTCAAGCACATGCTCGGACCAACCTTTTTTTAATCGGAGACAGAAAAGGACGATGACGCCAGGCCAGAAGAGCGTGTGGCGCTTGGGCGACGTGCGCTCCAATGCTAAGGGAGGCAAGTTCTTGACCCTGGAGCCGTTGGTTCGGCACAGCGAAGCTTCGCTGGAAAGCCCGTGAAAGCCCAGGGCGTTTTCCGAGGGCCAGCGCCTTTTTTGGTCAGCGCGTCGACGGGGTAGGGCTTGCCCCCGAAGGCCTTCATGTCGGCCAGGTCCACTTGCAGCTGGTTCATGGGCTCCAGAGCACGAAGCTGTTGTAGCCCCTCTGTGGTTGACCTGGAGGCCGTCCGGAAACGCCTTCACTTCCTCTCTGGAGGCGCCAGGCTTCCACCTTGTGCAGCCGGGCCTGGAAGCCCTTGCACACCCCCCCAGAGCACGTTGGTGAGGTGCGAGTAGTCGAGCGTGACCATCTCGGTGCCGTCGCTCATTGAGAACGCTTGCCTCATCATCACATACAAGCTGCACGCGTTGCATCTTGTTGCATTTCAATGTCACCCTTTTGCATTTCACACCCCAAGGGGAACACACCCTGTGAACAGGTTGAACGCGCGTTGTTAGCCTGGGGGCATTAGAGCAGGCTCCGCATGGGGGTGCAGGCACAGGGAAAGGACACGCCGTGTTTTTCCTCCCGCACCCCTGAGCTGAGCAGGCTGGGGGTGCCGGCACAGGCAAAGGACACGCATTGTTTTTCCTCCTGCACTCCCGAGCCTGGACTTCCATTTGAGCTCCGCATGGGGGTGCCGGCACAGGGAAAGGACACGCATTCTTTCCTCCTGCACCCCCGAGCCTGGACTTCCAAGCAACGCCTCATAAAGAAAAAGAGCGGAGCGCGCCTTATGTTGGTCGTACTCTTTTGTTTTTTTGATGCATGTCCCCTTACGGCTTGAAGCAGTGATCAAGATTCTAACTTTGCAGACATTCTAAAACTACGGGGTGGGGTGGGGAGTTTGAATCTTTGCACACATTCTCAAAACCAGCAGGGGGTTGGGGGGGGGCGGCTCCCATGATGTCCGAAGCAGTCATGACTCAACAACGAGGTGCCTGAATTTTTGCACACCTTCTAAAAACCAGCGGGGGGGTTCGGGGTTCGAATTTTTGCACACATTCTAAAAACCAGCGGGGGGTTGGGGGCGCGGCAGCCCCCCCATGATGCTCGAAGCAGTCATGATTCAACAACGCGGCCTGAATCTTTGCACACATTCTAAAAAGCAGCGGGTTGGGGGGTGCGGCAGCCTCCCCATGATTTTCGAAGCAGTCAGAACGAGGTGCTGGCAATTTTTGGCGCTGAGGGCTCAGGGTGGGGAGGCTTGAGGGGGGGCTTTGCTTAAGGCTTTCGCAAGACTTTGCAGCCAGGTTACGGGGACCAGTCTCTTGCCGGCGAACCTCGTTAGAGGACAGCCTTCAAAAGCTTCGAAACCTTTGAAGGGCTTCAAAGCCTTCGAGGCTTCGAAAGCTTCGATGACTTCAAAGCTTCGAAACGTTCTGCCTCCCCCTTCGAAGGCTTCGAAGGCTTCGGACCTTCGGACCTTCGTTCCCACCCCCCCCGCCCTCCCCTCCTCCACAGCCCGTCCGGCGGTCAAGGGTCGAAGGCTGCCACGGCGAGAAGACGCTGAGGGAGTGCGCGCAGAATCCGCACCAACTTGCGAAGGTGCTGCACGTGCCACCAAATCTATTCGTGGAAAATTTCCGTGCTTGCCACGGCGGTCTATGCCTGTCATGAAATCTGTGCCACCCTGCGAAAGTGCTGCAGCTGCTATGAAATTTGTACTTAGCCTTGAAAGTGCGGTGCAAGGAAATTTGTACCTGATCTTGCGAAAGCGCCGCGCCTGTCACGCAAACTAATGTTGCGAAGGGATCGCGCGTCCGTGCCAATGCTCCCTGCTCCGGAACATCCCAATCAAAACACCGCAGCACACAAAGTGTTACGCCTTCTTGGACATTTCTATTCCTTTGCCACGCGCATGTTTCCCGCGCACGCAGTCTTATCTTGTCATATGAGAGCCAGCTCTCATCTTGTTGCCGTACCGTGGAAGTTCCTTCTAAGCTTCCTTTGCAGCGATTTCGTGAATAGCGCTTGCGGGAGCTTGGTGCGTGATTGGCTTGGTGGGCGGCTTGGTGTGTCACTCATGGCATGTGAACAGCCTCGTGCTACTTGGGTCATAGTGGTCGTGCTTCGGATGATGTTTGCACCGGCAGGTGAATTTGCTTGATATTAAGCGTGGTTTTGCTGCAAATTCTCTGCTGCAAACCTTTGTTCTGCGCGGCGACGGCAGCTTCAGTTGTCATTTGCGAGGTTTGGAGGGCAACTATTCCTGATGGGTTTTGATGCGTTCCCCGCTGCTGTGAGTGTTTCTTGCAGGGTTGGTTCCAATTGGCAATGAGCAAGGATCTGGAATGATTACACTCTCACAATGTGGCTTACAATCGTAAATTCGTCAAATGCATTGCAATGAGCTGCAATGCCATATCTAGTTCTAATGGAAACGATACACA